TGATCAGCTAAAATTCAGGAGCTTGTCAGTATTCAAAATTAAACTAATTGCCTACCAGCTACCAACAAAAACAAAACTTCACAAGAGATACCCTGACCTATACGAAAATAATCTCTGTCCATGATGTAAAGCACACCCGGAGGACCAACCACATATCTTCGAATGCATCTATGCTCTTTTGACAATCAGCAAAAAAAGAGGAAAACTTATTACCTTGTTAAACAAAAACTTCCACAACACAACTAGCAATATTAGATCAACACAACTTGACTTCATCTCAATAACCCCCTCCAGTATAATTGATCTCGTGCTCAGAAACTTCAAAACTCCTCTTGACAAAATTCAAGAGAACAAAATTATACTCTCTAACAAGGCACTAAAAGTTTTACACAAAGTCTAGTTAAAAAGATTTGCCACCGCCACCATATCAACCTCCTCAGGAATAAAATGGAGGAAAACCAAGGCTACAAGAATAGAGCATAATAATACATTCCATAGCACAACTCTCCATAAAGTACTTAACGCATTAGAAATTAATAATAATCTCACTAACAAAAAAATTTTTACTCCCGCAATCACTTCATCGTTTTGAATAGGCATTAGCCATTCAATACTACTAGTATGAACCCACCCACCTGGTGACAGTTGGTACTATTAGCTAGTTGCGATAGGCTAGAATTAATTTACAAAATATGTAAAGATTTTTAATATAATGGCTATAAATTCTCGTTTAATAAAAGTCTCGCATTTAATGCCTGTTTGCGATTAAAAAAAAAAAAATTACTTTATATAAATTCTAATCAATTTCTTAATATAAGTAATTTTTTTTGAAGGCAGACAGAAATTTTTCTGATTTTATAATTGTACTCCTAGAATTTATATTGTATATATATTGTTCAAAAAATAGTGATTAAAATATTGTATATAACATTTTTGTTATTTTCCAAAAGAATCAGCCATATATTATAATAAAGTATTTATTCTATTTTAAAATTATTATTATTATTATTATTATTATTAAGGTAAAAGGTGCATACAGCATATAATTTTTATTGAGTTGTTAATATCCAATTACATAACTACAAGGTTTATTTAAATTAATCCACTATCCTTACCTATATTTAAATCTGATAATATAGTATGCATTTAGAAAATGAATCCACGTTTTTCAGGAGGACCTATCTAGAAGATGGAAATTCTACTACTAGTTTTAAACTATCTAACTTATTGATCCAGCTTATGTTCAGACAGGGTGTATTAATGGAACTGGCTCAAAATACACTGTGTCTTCTTTATCTAATTAGGCTAGAACTAATTATAAAAGAGAAAGTTGTCAATTAGGATTAATTAGGATAGAATACAATCTAGTCTGTACATCCAAATGTGTTGTATTTTTGCTTGCCAACGATTATTGTACTATTATTGGACAATCATTGTATCACTACATTTTTACAGAGGTTATAATCTCAATACTTGCTGGATTAGCATATAAACTGGTTTCTCAGGAGAAACGGCACATATCAGGTTATGGTGCCAGATACCATATTAATATTATTCAACTGCATTTATATAGAGTTGAATGATATCTTGTAATCTGATTTGTAAAATATTAACCACTATACTATAGACTTACAAGTCTTTTTATTTTAAAATTATTTTATTTAATAATTTTTAATTTATTTAAATTATTAAATTTAAAAATTAAATTTCTTAAAAAACTTAAAATTCAAACAATAATATTATATTATTATTTAGCAAGATTAAAAAATAAAAAACTTATACTGTATATACTGTATATATATAAAGATTTAATTAGAAGTTTTATATTGAAGTTAAACTTTTAACAAGAGTTATTAATATATTAATATATTTTAAATATATAACAAGTTATTTAAAATTATTTTCAAATATAATAAGTTAAATATTTTTTAAAAAGCTAAATAATATTTTTATTCTTAATATTGATAACTTTTATAATTTTGATTTAATTATAATTAATTAACTTTAAGATATATTATATAATAAAATGAGAAATATTTTGATTAGTTATAACAATTACAATTTAGAATGAATTATATTTTTAATATTTAAAACATCTTTAGTTAAAAATTTAATGGAATTTTTATTATTTATATATATAATAATATTTATGAAAATAAATATTAGATTTTTTGAATAATATTATATCTTTTACTTTGAATATTTATTTAGAAATAACTATTTTGAATATTATTATGAAACAATATTTTAATTATAGATGTTTATAAAAAGTTATAATTGAAAAAATTATGATAAAATAATGTTGGTTTTTTTATTAGATATTTTTTGTGAAATAAATAAAAATATTTAATTATAGAAATATTTTTTAAATATTTTAATATAATTGATAAATACCTTGTGAAAAATTTTCACAATCTTGTTCATAAAAATACAATATTAAAAAGTTTTATAAAAGGAATTCTTCCATCAATATATTATATCAATTAAATATCAAATAAGGAAAAACCATGTGATTTAGAATTTTGTAATAATAGAGATTCAAATATAAAGGTTTTAATATATAGACATGCTTATTATTCTATATGATTTATTAATTTATTGAATTCTAATTCTAATGATTGTTTTCAATATTACAAATTATCAATTGAAAAGTTGATGACATCTTTTAATTCATTATTAACTTCTGAAAGAAATAATTATGAAAATGATTATAAAAATAATGACAACATTGAATATGATAACATTAATATTGATGAGATGAATAATAATGAAATGTTTGATAATATTACTTTAAATAAAGATGAAAATGAAAATAATATAGAACTAAAAATAGCTATTGATAATTTTATTTTATTAACAAATGAAGCTTTACTATCATCTAGTTTTAAGACTTTTTATTGAATCTTTAGAAAATACAAATCAAAATAATAATAATGAATCTTGTATTTCCAATAAAAGAAAAAAAAAATTCACATTTCACTAATTTCAATTAAAAAATAAATAAATTATTTTATAAATTGTTATTATTATTATTTAAATTTATGGTTTTTTTAAAAAAAATTTTTTTTTTCTTTAATGGACCTTATAATTTTTAATAAAAATTTTGTTAAAAAACACTTATTATTATTTATATTTATAAAATTCAAAGTTATATTATATTGAACAATACTGGTTCCGCGAGACTTTAAGTAGGACCGGCGATTCGCGAATTTTTCACTACGTGACGATCTATAATATAGTCTCATTGTGAGCGGGATTGTTAATTTGATAATTTACGCATACGTATTTTATCCAGGATAACCAAGAATGAGTTCTCGTGACCCGGAAATTTCACTTGGAAATAATACAAATGCAGCTGTATGTATGCTGCACGGAACACCCCATGTCTTTCTGGTGAGGACGTTTCAAAATTTGTACGTATGGTGACACCTGCTTGTTGTACATCGATATTTTAAATATAGAAATCCAGTCTATTAATTACTTAATATGGCATGTGCCAAATATACAGTACACTATACAAAAACAGTGTATCGCGTATAAAAAAAATGGTTGCATTGTCCGTTAGATGAATGAAGGTTAGAGGAAAGCACCTTTACATTTATCGTTTTAATATATCTTGAATTATTATTTCGTAGATATCACACATGCTTACTGTATATCATAACAAGACAACAATGAATAGAGACACAATTTGTAATAAAGGCAGTCAATGATATGGTATCTGAAGTTTTTTCAGTATGATCATTTAATTTTCTCTTTTAACAGTTATTACGCTCGTTCACATTGCATAAAATAATAAAATTTTTTAACCATTTTACTTGTAGTCGATATAAAGAATTCAATAATGCATCTGCATATAATATCGAATACTACGCACATTCGTGGTACACCAAAGTAACTGCGAGTGACGACTAGGGTATATTATTCGCGAAATTTTGAAAGTTTTCAGGAAACAAAGTAGATATATTTTAGTTTCATTATGTAATATAAAATAGATATACCATATATACTGTATATGAAAAATCCTATTTATAGTGCTTTTTCTTAAAAAATGTGTATCACACTCTCTTGGGTTGGGGAAACTTTTCTTTTACAACTTTGGATTGCTACTTTGCGCCTTCGCTTTGTATCCATTTTCATCTTACAGCGTTCGCACCACGCGTTCTCGTCATCCTGCAAATAATCATGCACAGTGATATATACGCGGAATCACAATAAAAAATAGCCGATCTTGTGATTTTCAACATATTACGCAGATGATGTGCATAATAAAGCTCATAATGGAATAAAAAACGTTTTGAGGCAAAGTTGAGGAATATGTATTCCGACTATTCAATATTTTACAATAGGCTTTTTTTTTTACATATTACTAATATTGCTAACCATAATGCATTATCATAATTTTATTTTGTGTGACAGATGATAATTCAATTGAATTAACCGTGAAGTTATGGAGCCTTGTTTTCTTAAATTGTAAAGATACTAGATTTTCTTTACTGTCTTTTGATTTTAAAATAATCTTTCACGAAATTCCAAAAAGCAATTTCGATTAATAATCAGGGCCTTCATTCTATGCACTAAAAAATAATGATAACAAAATGTCTTTAATTTGTTTGCGTCATACGAATACTATTGACCTTTCAAAAGTGGCAATGCAAAAAGAAAATAAATCCTCATTTCTCGTGAAACGAGTCCATCTATTTAAACCTAAATGTTCGCCGCTTTCGTTTTCCTTCTTCAGGATCTCAAAGTTATAGCTTGTGATTTCGTGATGCATAAGATGTCAAACGATCAGGGTGAATCGCACGTAAACCACACGATAATCCAAGACACCATCCAAGCTTTGTTTAAAAGACCTCCCTTTCCACCCGAAATTGACCCCGCACAAATTGCAAAAGATCGCATACTAAGAAATCCTGACGCGATTAATTCGCGGGGCCCAAATTGTTTTATAATATACAGAACATATTGCACCTCTATAAATGCAATACCGCATAGTCGAAAAAGAAACAGAATCCACATGACCAAGCTGTCGGCAATAGTCGCAGAATCATGGAAAAATGAGCCCTCGGAGGTTAAGGACTATTACAAGCATCTTGCAACTCTGACCGAAATCGAAATGTGCAAGGAAAGAAGGCGAAATGAAATCCACATAGTGAATTTCAAAGGTTGTGATAAAAGACACCAACATAAAGATAAAGTCAACATAACGAAAGTCCCACATTTCGAAAGACAAACTCCGGAATTACCTATGGAAGAAAATAATATTGATGACGAAGGCTGCATTCCCGTCGCATTTGAACCTATAGGAAATGAAACTTGGGATCCGGTTCATTACAAGCCTTTGGTGATATTTCGGTGCTTCTTTCATGAATTCCTCGATTGTCCGTGCCAGAATAGTTTTTAACATCCCAACGAGAGGGACCTAACCGATATAACATTTACCATTACAGTCGATTTATATCTTTATATATATAACATTACTACTACAGTCGATTTATATCTTTATATATATCCATTTATTTCGTTATTATTTTTATTATCGTCGTTTTTCATTCGTACAGTCGTTTCGTTGAGTTTTTCATCCGACGTTCCATATTATGTGTCACACATATTTAACGTAGTATTTAACACACTATCGAATTCGTGAGGCTTAACAAATTATGCAATAAGCACTAAATATGATTATGAACATTTACGAAACAATCACGTGATGAAAGAAAGAATATTAGTTTCGTTATTCTTCCTTTCTATTCTTTTGTTTTCTTTTATCTTTAAACGTAAAACATGCATACAAAATATGATGGAAAGTTAATAAAGCGAGAGGATATTTAGTCAATCTGACATACCTATTATTAAATTGCACGAATATCTGTTCTGATACACTTAAAATGATCAATATATTTAAATGAGTAATTCTTTTTGAAGTTTTTGGGGGGTGAGGATCAGGGCCCACAATTTTGAGCACCAATTTAATTGTGGAATTTCCATATTACGGTAAAATTTCGGATTTTATTTTGGGTATATAAAAAACCCGGAATATAACATAGTTTCAATATAACTAACATGATTCTTATATGTCGCGAGGTGGAATAAATGGATTCTCAGAATAATGTATAATATGAAGTAAAAGGGTTCGCAGAACGTAAGGTCGGAGTAAATTGGTTGACAAAATATGAGGTAGGGTGAATAGATTTGTAAAACGTGAAGTGATACGGATAGGTTTACGAAACGTAAAATGAATGGGTTTATGAGATATAAGATAAAATGGATAGGTTTGCAAAGCATGGGATAAAGTAAATGGATTTGTGAAACGTGAAGTGAAATGGATAGGTCTGCAAAATGTGAGGCGGAGTGAATGGATTCATAAAATGTGAAGTAAAATGAGTGAATAAATACATGAAAGGTAAAATAGTGGGTATATTTGAATGAGTTTGTGAAACGTGAAGTGGAATGGGTAAGTTTGTGAAACGGAATGAATGGGTTCACGAAACGTGAGATGAAATGGATAGGTTTGCGAAATATGAAATAGAGTAAAGGTGTTTGCAAAATGTGAAGTAGAATGGGTAGGTTTGTGAATGTAAAGTGTAGTGAATGGATTCGCGGGGCATGAAGTGAAATGGATAAGTTTTCGAAACGTGAGATGGAGTAAATGGATTCGTAAAACATGAAGTGATATGAGTAAGAGTGAGGCGGAGTGAATGGGTTCACGAAACGTGAGCTGAAATGGGTAGGTTTGCGAAGCTTGATAAATAAATGAGATCGTGAAATGTGAAATTTAATGATTAAGTTTGCGAAACATGAAGTATAGTAAATGGGTTCACGAAATATTAAGTAAAATGGATAGGTTTGCTAAACGTAAGGTGAGGTGAATGGATTTATGAAATATAGTATAAGGTAGACGGCAAATAAAAATTCGCAAATTTTAGTCACATGATAATCATTATATAGTGTAGCAAAATAATTAACTAATAATTTTTTTCATTTGTAAAAAATTATATTATAAAAAAAATTTTTTTTAATATTAAATTTACTGTATATTAATATTAATTAAAATAAATTTATTGATACTTCAAAACAACAACAATTTTTTTTTTTAATATTAAAATAATTACATAGGATTTTATTTAAATTTGTTATTTTTTTATTTGATTTTTCATCAAGTTCAAATATTAAAAAGTCTACATATTTAAATATTCTAAAAAAGATTTCATAAAAATTTATTATTATTATATTAAAAAAATTATATAATAATAATTTTTTTTTTTGGATACAAAGATATAATTTTTTATTGAATAATGTATATCTTATTATATAACTATAAAATCTATTTAAAGTAACATATATTTTTATTTATGGCCTTATTCAATTATACAAGTTTATTATCATTAAAGTAAATTCACATACAGTATCTAAATAAAATCTTTAGAAGATATAAATGTTATTATTAACTTATAAACTATCTAATTTACTTTTAATTTTGGTAATTGTTATTGAAAGTATATACTTTTCAGAATGAATTAAAACCTCTAGATAATTTATTTAATACTTTTATCTGAAATTTTAAAGAAAATATTGTACTTATTATTTGTAGCTTTAAATTTCTTTTTTCATTAGATTTTCTTTTTTTAAATAAACATTAAATTGAAATAACTTCAAATTAAAGCATTATTATATTATAGAATTTGTTATAACAAAAGAGTTGTGAACTTTTTATAAAAGTTAAATCAAAAGTCTTATTTTATACAATTTTTTCTATTTCAATTTATTTTTAGCCTACTATTATTAAAAAAACCAAAGATCTTATCTTTATATAATCTAATTGAATCTGAATATTTGGAATTTTCATATATAAAAAAATCAATAAATCTACAGTATATACAAATAAAATTTTTTGCATTATACTACCTATAGATATTAAAATAGAAATATATATTTGAAAACTTGAAAATACTACTTATTGTATTATTAACTTACAAGTTTACAAGTTTTTACTTATATTGGTTTTAAAAAAATATTAATCATATATATTATTAAAATTTATAAATCTTTGATACAATTGATACAATTGGTTAATACAATTAATTAAGTCATTATTAAAATATATAAATAATTAAATTATAGTATACAGTGTTAGTCATAAGTAGTTAATCTAGTATATTATCTGAAGTTAAGTAATAATATCCTTCAAAAATTTTAAAAATTTAATGATAACACTAACTCTGATCTCTTATATATTTGTAGATTTGTGTGATTTTTAGACTAGATATTAAATAATCAATGAATTTTCTTTCAAAATTATGACTCTTCTACTTTATAAGCATTATGAAATCATATTTTTATATAAACATCTAAAGATAAAGAACTTGAGTTTCTCAAAAATAACAGCTTATATTAGTTGCTACAAGTCCATAATTATTTATTGAATATAAAGATGGCAAATCTCAAAAGATCTAACTGAAGAATCAAAGTTCAATTGGTGATGTAACAATAACAAAACAAGACAAATAAATCATAAAGATGGTGAAAACAGAACACAATATAACAAGTACTAAAATACAAGAAATCATTAAAAAAAGGGGTTGATATTAGTATAAAAACTATTAGATGTCATCTTCATGAATCTGAGAGTAAATATACTAATGAAATTTTGAAATCTTTTTTTTCAAAAAACCACAGAAAAAAATGACTTGAATGGGCAAAGTTATATTAAAATTTTGACTAAAGTCAAATTATTTTCATAGATGAGAATATATTTTAAATATTTTTATAAAAAAAAAGATGTGACAATTTAGCAAGAGAAAAAAAATGTATTATATTGTCAAGTATTCAGTGAAATCCATATGTGGAGATATTTTTCCACTTTAGGATTTGACAGACTGGTATGCTTTTAACAGAATTTTAATGGTGAATTTATATTATTAAACCTAAAAGTTTAACTTTTCCGAAATAGGAAATTTCACACCAAACATCGATCTAATACATTAATTCTCTAATAATAGACCTATAGTATTTTTATCCACTGAACAACTTTACTTAGAACCCCAAAAAAGGTTTCAATCACCACTTTTGCGATAACTAAGGATTTTGGTCAAACATTTATAGTATCCAATTAAAATATATTGTTATATCACATGATCAAGTGATAATTCCCTAAGCTATGAATATGAAGGATTAAGAAACATGTTACAAATTAGCCTTTCATTAACTTTTCCATATTTGTATTATTTGTTACTCTCAATAATTTAGCACACCAATTATATCCTTTATTTCTTTTTATATAATGTTGACGTCTCTCCTGGCGAGTCTGTCGCTAATAGCAATAGAAACTCATGTAATGTCAGGTAGGTTTTTGACTTTCTCTACTTGAGGCATGTGATTTTGTTCAGCCGAGTTCTTTACTAATCATCTTTCCTTCTCTTTCCGTTGTCCGTGCTTCCTTGACGAGTCTTACCACTTTCTCTCTTGTGGTTCCAGTCATCCTATCTCGTGACAAGTACTGAATTAGGTAAGTAATTTATATTTTTACTCTCTTTGGCAATGTTGATTGCACATCCTTAATTAGGAATATTATTTTATTCATTTTTTTTTGGTATTGATCTTATTTTTTGTATCACGTACTACCTCTCTATTCTTCTATTTATATTGACATGTCACGTCATGCAATCCCTTCTTATACTATTAGAAACTATCGGCTGATAATTAGACTATCTGATTAATAATAGCAATGACTACATTAGACTTTTTCCTAAATTACATCATGCTTAAGTAGGCTATACTAAACTATCAATTACCATATCAGCTATCTAAAATCAGGGTACGCGACGCACCAGGTCGCATTGCGTGACCATATCCCATACCATTTCCCTGCTAACAATTTCCCACCTCTTATTTTTGGCATCCTTGCCAAAGATCTTGTTACTCCTGGGACTCAACAGGTCTTCCATGGTGGTGGTGTATCGGATGGTTGGATGTTACAGGGTGAATCAACGATGCAGACATCTAAGTTACTGTTTCCGTTACTTATTGTAATTTCTGGTTCATTTTCGATTTCTTTCGTTACAGCCGGATTACTAGCATTTACCCTTTTGTAACCTTCTTTTCTATCATTCCTACTTGCACATATAAACTCGAAATTAGGTCTTTTTCCGGTAATGTCACGAATTCGGATAATCCTATGAGATTGCTCTGGCTGGCTTCCCGATCCGATTTCCTGGCAAAGTGTACGGTTCTTCCATTTTCTTTTAGCCGTATCAGGATTCCACGGTAGGTATGGCTGGAGAATAGAATTATGCCAAGTTGTCTTTAGCTTTGCTCCGATGGATGCTATGGCATAATGATGGTAGGTCCTATCCCTTTTCCATTCCTGTGACATATTGATGATTGTTCTCTTAATCCTTCGTTTACTATTCCGGTGTTTCTTCTTAGCTCCAGGGTAATATTCATTAGTCGTGGATGTCATCAATTCCTCGGCTTGTGGTCTGATTAGTAAAACGGATCGTGATCTCTCGTAGTTATGTGCTGCAGCTTCTCCAATGTCATTTCATGTCAGTTGAGCCATTCACGCATTGGGTTTCCAAACCATTTGTTTTTTCTTGGCCATATCATCCATAACACTCTGATATTCAAGATGCATGTCACAAATAGAGGTCACTGTGTTGTTCAGTATGGGTTGGATCAGTTGTGCCTTGAACTCCTGCACCATATAAACATTCATTGCTAAGACATTGTTAGGATAAATTATTGCCACCTTTCTCACATTTGCTGCATTTATTGCATGTCTCCTTAATGTGACAGTGCTGCAATGCTCAGTCATAGCCTTGTATGGATGTGCCCCCTTCATTGTTATCGATGCCGCTCTTCCACTGATGGTTTTCTGTATGCCTTGCCTGATTTGTTGCATATCACGAACAATCGGGACATCATTATGATTTCGCACTGCTATATCGCACTCAGGACTTAACATGATCCGTTCGACAATATTGTCGGTTAGCAGTTTTCTCACAGAACAGCTTAATGGAACCATTTTGTTTTTGATCATCATCATTGTGTGAAGCGCCAATCTCATAAAGGTGTCAGAGTACATTTTTGTGAACTTTATCTTAAATTCGCGAAGAAACACCTCCATCCATTATTGCTACACTGCAGGGATATTACACGACCTGTAGATCTCATCCCCAGGTGCATATATTTTCCAAGTAATTACTGATGTTGTCTCGTCTCCGGTTGTTTTCCTCTTGCTTTGGCATACCTTCTGCTAGACTGATACATTGTTGGTATTATCCGTGTACAACATTACGTCCGCAAATCTTAACCCTTAAACAATTTCCATAGGGATGTCCTGTTGATCCTCTGGGAGCTCCCTTGCTAATTTTTTTACTGTTTCCTGATCATTCTCAATTTTATCAACTTTGCTTTGATTTTTCCAAATTGTTGCTGTTACTGGTGATTCCTCATTGGGTATTAAGGTATGCAGCTCCTCCACTAGTGTTGTCTCGATTTGCCCATCCTATATGTTCTTGAGTTTGCTGTTTATTTCAGTTTTCTCGATCTCCTTTCCCCGAACATTATCACATGACATGGTTGGTTCTTTGATCAAACGTTCACCGACATCTAAAATGATGGGATGAGATTCAATGCTGGAACTAGGTTCATCAGACACCTTCTTGAATAAGGAGGTTTCCTTCTCCTCAGTTTCATTAACTGTTTTTAGATCATTCTTGATCATCATCAACGTTCCTTCCAGTTGAAGGAGTCATACGATGGCGTCTGAGATCTTTGGTCATGTTTCATCATTGGAGCTGACATCATTACACCTTTCTCTTTTCTCTTTGCAAATCCTTAACTGTTCTTCCAATTCATCTTCTTCTTCATTGTCTTTCGCTTTTTCTACCTCAGTAGGACATTTATTCCGCAGAGTGCTTTTATCAGTCACATCACAGTGTCTTTTGTGGTCGATCTCGTCAGCATGTACCATATTGGTTTCATCATTCGGGATCAAATTTTCAGTTAGACCTTCTGTGACGATTATCCGCTCTTTAACAGTGACTACATTCATAGTTCCTCTTGGTTGGGACGTGTCATCATTACCATGACTCAACTTTCGGGGCTCAGGCTTTGCAGTAATTTTCAGATAATTTTCTGACTTTGGTACAATCTTTCCTTCTATACCCTTATCTCTTCTGAACAAGCCAAAGCATTTAGCATGGCAACCTTCTACACTTTCGCTGTCACTCACGGCCTTATCATCATCCAAATCTAGATCCTTTACCCAATCTTTCATGCTGATTTTCTGCCTACTAACACAAATATTTATTTCTTTAGGCGAAGGTATATCATCATCATCGCACTCAGATTCTTGGGCTTGAGAATTCGTCTTGATTTTCAGATGGCCCTTTTTCATCATCGTGGACTCCAGTACAACCTTCCCTCTTCTGTCCTCACTCTTCCCAAATAACTAGTGGCGCCTAGGTCGACAGCTCTCTTCCTCACTTTCGCCATCACTTTCAGCATTGCTAAATTGTGTCATGGTGGATCAGGGTACCTTCTTGATAGAATCATTCTTGGTTGGATAATTCCTACCACAGCGATTCTCCTTTCTATATCTTTCCGTTAATTGTCGTATCTGGTTTCTCAGTTTTTGAATGCAGTCTTCTAGTTCTTTTCCTTTCTTTGCTTCTTTTTTGACTCTGATTGCCACTTTGAGTGCTTTCCTCGGGTCAGTTGCATTCCTAATGGCAGGTACGGATCGCAAGTCTTCTCGTAATTTGTGCATGATCCCCCGTTCAACCGTTTCCTTATGGTAGTCTCCCCTAGGGTAGATCTTCTTGAGTAGCTTTTGAAATCGTTGAACGTACTTAAGCACCTTTTCACCCTCTTCTTGCTCTATGTTCTTCAATTCCGTCTGCTATTGGGGCCATTGTTCGATCATCTCAAAGTAGTGGACAAATGCCAGCACAAAGCTCTCCTCATGATCATACCTGTCGTCCCAATAAATGAAACAATGCTTATGTTCGTCATACCATTCCAATGCAATTTCTTTCAAATAACTAGCTACTTGATCCAACTTCTCATCATCCGTCCAGTTATTGCAGTCGGCGGCTTGGTTGTAACGTCCTATCTATATCCACAACTCTTCTTCTGGTTTGCCTTTAAATTTAGGTGGCCTAACATAATGACTTTCTTTTTTTTTGATTCTTCTTGTCCTTGTTCCTCGCGGCATAGTGACAGCATTTCTTGCTTCTTTTCACCCATTTCGATGTAGAGGGATACAAAGAGTTTTCTCATCCATATACTCTACGATTTCCAACATCTTTGCTATTGATTTATAATCAAGGCCGATCTTGAGCGAATCACAGGTTTTCCAAAGAAGGTAAAATTCGTTTGTTTTTCTTTCCTTTTAGATTATTGATATCAAATATATCGTTTACGCGCAATTTTATCGGGGGGTAACAAGATGTTCAATCTCACAGTTACCATCAAATTTTTGACGTTTCTCCCGGCGAGTCTGTCGCTAATGGCAGTAGAAACTCGCGTAATGTCAAGTAGGTTTTTGGCTTTCTCTACTTGAGGCGTGTAATTTTGTTCAGCTGAGTTCTTTACTAATCACCTTTCCTTCTCTTTCCGTTGTCTGCGCTTTCTTGACAAGTCTTACCACTTTCTCTCTTGTGGTCCCGGTCGTCCTATCTCACAACAAGTACTGGATTAGGTAAGTAATTTATATTTTTACTCTCTTTGGCAACATTGATCGCACGTCCCTAATTAGGAAT